TTTTTTTTTTTTTTTCGTACGCATTAAATTTGTATACGACGACGGCATTCTTAATTACGGACGTATTTTGACAGTAGTTTAATACTGATGATTCCCACTCCATTTCGCACCGATTCTGCCTTTTGCGTTTACAGCTTAGGGATGAAATACAGACAGGTTATCAGGTCATTGCACATACAGGCTTGCTGATTTGGGAGACCTCAATAGCACTTCCATTTTTTCATTAATTATCAAAATTCGATTTGTTCTTGTGTATGTGGGCCAACAATACCAAACAAACTGCATGTGTTAACACGTAGAAAACAGCGCCCCTCCTCTTCCAGTCTCCTAGCTAGGGATATTCATCCCTTTAATTCTTTGAAAATTCCTATTCTGGAACACTAAGCTTATAGCAGTACATTTCGATTTAGAAAACCCAGGCTGGAACGCACCAGGTGGGCCAGTGCGATTATGCGTTTTTGCACTTCTCGTGTCGTAGCAAGAACAAGGAATCACAGTAGCTAACCCTGCAAAGTACTGACCCTCGAAGATAATTGTGCAACTATGTGGTATGTCAGTTGTAGATGTCGGTTTCAGTGACCCAGCAAATGGAAAAGGTGCTGGTCCGCAAAAAAAGCCATATCCAGAAGAGTTAAATCTGAAATCTTTTAGTCGTACATAAGTAGGGAATATTCCCTTAAAATTAAAGCCTCGTTCCCGAATTGGCAGTTTTCCCACCAAAATTTTCACGTGTCCCTACGTGATTTCGGGACGGTTTTAAGGAGGTGGTTTGGTCGTACATGAGTAGGGAACGTTATCCTGAAGTTTCAGCTTTCTAGCTTTTTTCGTTCCCGAAATTTTCACGTGTCCCTACGTGATTACGGGACGCTTTTAAGGAGATGAATTTAAAATCTTTTGGTCGCCATGAGTAGGGAACGTTATCCTGAAGTTTCAGCTTTCTAGCTTTTTTCGTTCCCGAGTTAATGATTCCCGCGCCAAAAATTTCCACTTGCCTGCCTGTACGTGGGCCCCGGGTGCCTATAAACACCTGATTTTGGTCAAACATGAGTAAGGAAGCTGAAACTCAGCTTTTTAGCTTTTACTGCTCCCGGGTCAGTAATTTTCGCGCCAAAATTTCCACGCGCTCGTATGTGGGCTCGGGCGCTTCTAAACACCTGATTTTGCTCGTACATGAGCAGGGAACATTCCCTTAAAGTTTCAGCTTTCTAGCTTTTACTGTTCCCGGGTTAGAAATTC